AATTCGTTAATATATGAATCTTTACAACTTGTTCAAAATGACCGAGTTTTGCACGTTGAGTCGGGTCGATCTGCGGAAGATTTGTATATTGAAACATTCAACTATCGGTTAGGATAGCTTCCACCCTAATTTCCAATATGAGAAGGATTCCTCCACACATTCCCAAATAACAGAATTCGACATGGATAAATTAAGAAGTACAATCAAACAATTTGTAAGAGAATGGGCAGCGGAAGTAAGAAGATAATCATTTCTGTTAATCATTTTCCGTTAAATATACGTGTAAAAAAAAAAAGAATTGTATTTTTTAAAACGGCTTTTAATACTTGATTAAATAGGGTCAAGAAGAACGGGATGCGGCCTATAAACCCTTACTTGAGGCGTTAATCGAATTTTTTAAAGATGTTCCAGTTGAAGAAAGGTATGACTGACCTTATAAGTTAAATCATATAAATCACATTCGAAATTTATAATAAAGTTGAACAAACAGGTCTTCAATTCGTGTGCTAGTACCTGGTGCTGGACTAGGAAGATTGGCTTTTGATGTCGTAAAACAAGGTATTGTTTGAATTTGTTCAAAACCTGTGAATATTCCTGATGGATTAAAAAATGTCACTCACTAATGTAATTGGTTTTTGCCAAGTGTCTCTTTTATGCTGTTATAGGCTTCAGTTGTCAAGGTACTTAAAAAAGTTATTTATTTACCGTATTGTTATTATATTACCATAAAGTAATTTTTGATCTATGATCTATTAGGAAATGAATTTTCATTTTACATGGTATGTCTTACTTTTCACTAACAAAAGTAAGCACAAAAAGCTAATTGGTCGAATAAAAACTATCTCAGCTATTGGCATCGCACTTTATTTTAAACAGGTATAACCAATGCATTTTATATAATTTATATATTTGGATGATGAATGAAGAACGTTATTATATTTTACAGAATTGAGAGAATTCATCAATATGAAATATACCCTTTTGTTCATTCATTCTCCAACATCGTATCATCTGAAGATCAATTACGACCTATATACATACCTGATGTATTACCAAGTAGTATACCTTCTGGTGTAAGTTTTTCGATGGTAGCGGGTGATTTTGTTGAAGTTTATGGTGATGAACAGTACAATGGTGTGAATTTATTTATTTCGTTTATATTAATATTAATAACACGGGTCAAACTGATTATATTAACGAGTTTGTGTGAAGATTACATCTAAGTATTATTACTTTATCCAATTTGTTTAAGAAACTTTTCTCCTAGCTAAATATGTTATTATAGTCAGTTTTACCGTAGTTAATCTTATTTATTTACTGGCAAAATTTAATGTTATCAATAATTCATCAACAGATCAATGGGATTGTATAGTGACTTGCTTCTTCATCGATACAGCAAAGAATATTTTAGAGTACATTGAAATATTTCATCGTATTCTTAGACCCGGTGGTCTTTGGATCAATTTAGGTTTAATTGCTAATTCTTGTTGATTCATCTAATTCAATGCAATAAGCCATACTTCTGCTCACTTTGACTTATTATTGAACTTTCTAGGCCCATTGTTGTATCACTACGAAAATTCTCCTGATGAAATGTCAATTGAACTAAGCTTGGAGCAGGTGAAAGCCGTAGTAAAAGATTTCGGTTTCCAGCTCTTAGTAAGTCCTATCAGCATATTTCATTATCATAAAATTTTTTCATAAATATTTACTTTTTATTATTAAACAAGACCGAAAAAACTATACTGCAAAATTTTATTAACACAACTACCTTTGTGTTTTAAGTAAAAAAAGATCCTAGCCTTATTCTAAATTAATTTATGCGAAAAAATCTATTTTGAAAAAATTGTCATTTTCGGTCCTTTTTCCAGCACCTAGCCTATATATATATATATTTTTTATATTTTTTTAATCAATTTTAAAAAATTTTCATATTTAGTAAGTGCTAAAAGTGTTATAATTTTTCAACACTACTGTAATTTCAAATACTAATCTCTAAATGAAAATATATATATTTTTTTTAGTAGGTGTATTAGGGTTTTGTCTTTCGTCATCATATAAAAAAGGTTTTGTATAACTATACTCTGTTCATCTTTTTTTTATCAAAATTTAATACTTGCATTTCACATGAATCTTCAGCAAAATTGTTGTAAGGTTTACTTATTAAATTAATCATAGTGTATGATCTTAATTATTAGCCAATCACAGAGAGATAATTAAGAGCACTCTTAGATGATTAAGGGCTAACCCAGACTTTCTTCACATTATTCAGTTCCTAATCAGTCTTATAATTACTAAAATTAATACAAAAACAGATAAATGTTTTGTATTGGCAGAATAATAGCAAAAGTATATGGCGTGCATTGCAATTTATATTATTGATGTCCATGATCTTTATATCACGCTAGATAACTGGTATATAAAGAATTTTATATTACTTCTGTAGATTTTTATATTATAAGAATTTGGCATATAATTTTAATAAAAATTTGTATTTACATACTACCTGCCATATTCAAAGTCGACTAACAATTACTGCAGGACCTATTAATATCCTATTTATATGAAAATAAATTATTATAATTATTCATATCTTCTTGTCAAAAGAGAAAAGTGATAAGTAGAAAGATTTATTATTAATATCAAACTCAATTGATTTTAATATAGGCTCATCTTCCGAATGGCAATTCTTATTTGCTACTTGATCAAATATTGTATGTATAGTGTTTGCAAATTTTTTAGCATGATTATTTTGTCCAGTTGAAGTTAAATTATCAAATGATTTTAAAACTGTCGTTTGTCTTTTATTATCTCTTATTTTTTGAAGTATTTCTAATTGAAGGCCAAATACTTGTGGACCTGAATAACGGGTTTTTGTCTCTGGACCTAAAGCCTATTATAAAATAATATAATTTAAATAAATTTTAACATTAAACTATTATTAAAATTATTAATTAGTATAATGAATTTTATTGTACCTTAGAATACAGACTTGCCGCATCTGAACATGACTTTTCAGATTTAATATAAAATTGATACTTGTGTCCATAATATATATAATAAACAGGGTTCTTGTCTATATATTCAATTATACACCTAACTAAATGTTTTTTTTTAGACTTTCCCCAACTTGACTCAACTTAATATTCATCAGGAATTCGAAATCCATTTTTGCGCTGTGTATATTTAAGATAAGTAGCAGGTGGATATTGACCTTCTTTAATAATATTATAAGTATAACTTCGCCCAGTTTCTTATTCAATAACATATTTCTTAGGGTAATTATGAATTTCCTTTCTTTTTTTAATTTGTTGACTCATTTGAAATAAATAAAGAAGATAAATTACTAATATCGATTATTTTTATGAATTGAATATTAAATTGATTGATACATTTTATGATTTCGGAAAATGAATTTAAAAATGATCCCCAAAAAAATTGAGGGACTTTTCCAATTAGCCGATATGAATCACTTAAACTCTTATATAAAGTATACTAGAATTAACAATGATATACTTTTTTAAATGCATTTATTAGATCTTGAATTACATGATGTTCTGCAAATATATTGGATAATCAAACTTTTTATTAATAGATCTTATGCTACAGATTTTTATTAATTCGCACTAATAATTAATGTGATGAATGGATTTCAGCTGCAATTGCGGCTAATTCTTCCGATGAAAAAAGGTCATCTTCAGTAAAATTCATTAGTGAATTTTGAACATTTTGTTTCGTGATTTTGACAGCCTCGACATTCTCTTTTAATGCACCTATATTAGCCAATCGATCTGCCGCTTCATTACCTGGGATGCCAACATGCCCCGGGACGTATGTCTTTAAAATTATAATATCAATTATTTTAATGAAATATATAAATTGTGCATGCATTTAAACTTTAAATAATGAAAAATAATTACGAAAGTGACTTTTCCAGGTCTTGTCTCAATTAATTCTATCAAACGAATAAATAAATCCTTATTTTCCACCGGCTTTTTATCTGCTGTCTTCCAACCATTTTTAATCCATTTAGGAATCCAAGACTCATATGCTAAAATAGAATAAATTAATTTGTATTATATGAATTTATAGACAAGGATGCGTTTACCATTTATAGTATATTTGCTATCTGTCTTTATTTCTATCGGAAGTTCACGATCAGGGCAAGTCTCTAAAGCCCTAATGACGGCCTAGAGAAAACGTATTTATATTTGTAAGCATAATATAAAACTTATATTAATAAAAAAACAACCAATATATATATATTTCACCGTTATTTCGGCCCTATTATTTGTTTGTTTATCACCTGGTAATCTTTCCGATAGATTCCTGATTATGAATATTGTCATCAAAAATAGTTTATGTTAGAATTTATCAGTTCTAAATGATTTCAAATATCATCATTTAATTATAACATCACAAAAGTTTGCCAATTAGAATCTTGTATTCACTACTTAATAAGTATTTAGATTTAGTACTTTAATATACTTAAATTTTAATTACTTATAGAATATTAAATTTTATATTTATTAAGTACTTAATTTTTAAATACTTTATAAATATTTAAATAAGTAATTGCTTCAATGTATCTTGCATTTAGTAAGTATAAATTAAGTACTTTTTTATTAATTATTAAGCATTTGCAAAGTGCTTTAATAAACTTCATGATTAAACTAATTACTTTGCGAAAATCTTGCATTTTTACGATATTCCAGTTCAAGTATAAATTATTAATAATATAGGTCGCTAAGAGAAAATTTTCATAGTAAATCGCAAATTTGGTTTCTTACCAGCACTATTAACGAGGTTTTAACGAGGGAAATGAGAAAACTTTGTATTTAGTCATAAAACCTCGTTAATAGTGTTAGTAAGAAACTAAATTTGCAATTTACTATGAAAATTTCCTCTTAACGATCTATATTATTAATAATTCATACTTGAAACTAGAATATTTTGTCGCTATGCAAAAATATAAGATTTCCGCAATCCAAACCTATTATATACCTTGGATGATTATCACCCCAAAATACTCCTACACCAGCACGTGCCCCATCTCTACCGTTATTGAGTGAACAACCATCAGTCCAGACCACAAGCCTTGAAACCTTGATATAATATTAAAATAATATATACGCATAAGTACATCTCGAACAAATATAAATTCATGGATTTAGAATTGTTACATACCGAATTATCGACAAAGTCTAAATCTTGAGATGCATGAGATGATACTGATGGCATTTAAAATAATGGAGTAGGTTTGAACAAATCAATTAAAAGAGATAAAATGCTTTTTTTTTTTTTTTTTACAAGAGCCTTCAAATCACCAATTACACCATGAATTGATGAATTTACCTAATTCTTGTTCTTTTTCATTATCAATAGATAATTCTTGTTCTTTTTTATTGTTATCAACACCAAATAAAAAATCCTGTGCTTCTTTTAATGTAAAGAACTTTTTATACCTAGAATTAGGATATTTATTAATTTGATCTTGACATTCGTCCCTAAAAATCCAACGAAATGGTAAATAGAGGAATATTAGACTTGAATATATTTGATAGTTATGAATATCTAAAATAAAGTAATGTTAACCAAGTTTTATAGATTCCAGGTTTACGACCAATACGAACTGCGTAATAACTTGGTTTTGTTTTAGGCATTTTTTGGTTTAGAACAATATTTCTTTTCCGCAATACTCGAGAAGTAGGGCTTGTCTGAAGTCGAGTTGGCTTATAATTCAATTTTATACTATTATTAGGAATAAATATTTTTACGAAATTTTGTAAACGATTGGCCATAATTTAAATAATTTGATATAAATTCCTAAATCAACCTATCGTTAAAATGAGAAAAAACGTACTTTACAATATCCCTCAAAGCCTGAGAAAAATTATTACGTATATATGCGGTTTTCTGCGTTACACCGGTCCCTTGATCAACTGTGTGACAATTCCTCAATACGTAACGGTAATTCGATCTAAAACTCTACACTTTAGACATTAAAAAAATAAATGGCAGGTGCATTAGGTCCCCATGGTTTCCCTCAACCAGGAAGAGGTTACGTCTTTGTGAGTAAATTATTAGGAGCGTCAATGTTATTCTGTACGTAAATTGAACAATTATATTACTGAATAATAATATCGTAAAGTTAATAAGTGTCTAAATTTTAATAGGGATGTTATATCGTGGAAAAAAAGACGGACCTGTACTTTTGGTAAGTTTATTTTGAACCTATTTTCCTTCAATGCATTTGATAATTGATTGTCAAATATTTATATAGGGTTTAAGACATCCCTGGGAACATCATGGACATCATGAAAACGAACACCATTAAATAACATGCAAAGTATTATCTAGCTAGGTAAAATACAAATCATTGAGTGTCCTGAGAAAAATATTTGATATTTTAATTTTATTTATTTTAGGTTTTTTTTTTTTTTTAAAAAAAAAAAAAAAATTAGAGATCTTATTAAATAACCATTCACATATTATTGGTCGTGAGGATTTATGGCTATAACTAATAAATCCATCAATTCAGAAAGTAAATAATACAATCAAAATCACATATATATGTCAGTGTGTGTTTAATACCAATTCAATACTGAATTCAAAAAAATATTTGTTAATGAAGGAAACATCCTATCAGTAGAGGGATATGGTGTCAAGGAAATGGCTTAGGAGACGATTTTCGGAATCGAGCTACTTTATTTTTAAGTAAATTATGCTACAATTGCTGAACTCTAGAACCTTTATATTCGTCATTTACTGCGATTTGCAAATTGATGAAATTTTTTTTTATGTTAACAGTACTTATCTCACCCAATTTTGATTGAAAAGATTTATTTTTACCAAAGATCTATTTATATGTAACTTTGCTCTTTATAATGAGTTTACAAAGTTACTAGTCAGATTTTTAAAATAATTTTAGAACTTTGAATTTATTTAAAGTCTATCTAATTTATTAAAATACAAACGTGTGTAACAGTTGGATCAGTCCGAATAACGAAAACTCACGTAATATGATAAAATTAATTTTTTTTTAGAACCCTGGAAATTGCGACTATAATTTTTATATTAAATGTAAAAAATTTATTTTTCCCGAAGTATCACGAGGGTTAAAAAAGCTAGTTTTATATAAATTTTAAATATTTTAATATTATTTTTAAAACGCTATAATTTTTTACATAAAAGATTTTTCAAAAATTAACTATAGAGTTTATATAATATAGCATTTTTTCTGGTCTTGTGAATTCTGAGTTATGTGATTCTGTGGATGTTGAATTGCCATCTGATCTTGTGCCTGGTTCTGTAAATTCCAAGTTATGTGGTTCTGTGGAAGTTGAATCGCTATCTTGTCTTGTAAATTTGAAGTATAATAGTACTTTGTCTAGTTCTGAGAATTTTGAGCTATCTGGTTTCAAAACTTTAAGATAAATAGTAATTTTCCTAGTTCTATAAATTTTGGGTTGTTTAGTCTTGAGGATTTGAAATAAACAATAATTTGCCTGGTCTTGTAAGTTTTGTATTTGTTAGTAATTTATTTGGTTTTGTGAATTCTAAGCTTACTAGTAATTTGCCTAGTTTTAAAAGTTCTGAATTTAATAGTAGTGTAAATACTAACATCAATCAAATAATTTAATATAATACAACTGAATTAAAATTACAAGTACAGTACAGAAATTCTTAAATTAACAAATAAAATACATAATTATTAAAATCTTATAAACAAAAAACTATAACAATTACAAACTAAATCTTTTTATAAAATAATAAAATATAATCTAAAAAACATAAATATAATATTTATTTTTTTAATTAATTAATATTTTATAGTGTAGAATTCTTTTAAAGTTAGTTAATTTTATTAATAAAACTAAAATTTGGCTAGTTATATAATACAAAAATAAAGCATTCTATTGATCAAAATACAGTATATAATAATAAATCACATAATTAGTAGATTTGATATAAGTATATTAATATATAGTAAATCAATAAACTTTATTGCAATTGTTATAATAAGTTTATTATAGATTGTATATAATCTTATTACCAAATCTGTAATAATACATTAATATATTTTAGTATATAATTGTTGTATAAATATAGTAGATTAATAGAGCTTTTTTTTTAAAAAAAAACTTTTAAAAGGTTTTTTAAAACTATAATTGTTTAAGCTATTAAAAAAAGTTTTATCGGTATTAAAATAAAAAAAAATAAACAAAAATAATAAAACTTTATCTAATACTATATGTAGTTATAAGTAAAATAAACAAATAAAAAAGGTTAAAAATTTTATATTAGTAAAGGCTTGTTATAATTACTAGGTTAAAAAACAAAATTTAGTGATTATAAAAAGTTGTGACTAAATAAAAGTCAAATTTTATATGTTTTATAATAGTTAGATCAAAAAAATAGTATAATTATAACAAGGTTATAACTATATTAAGAGTGACTATAACAAGGTTAGACTATATTTAATATTTTATAAATATAAAAGATTAAATTTAAATATTATAATACTTAAATGATATAATAAAATATATTGAAAGTAAAAACAATAAAAAAAAAATTAAAATAAAATATAGTTTGTAATTATATAAAAAAAATAGTATTTAAATATCAATCAAATTTATAATATTAGTCTTATTTATTACAGAACTCTTTCTGACGATCACTTGAACCATATTTTCTGAAAAAAACAATTACTAAAAAAAAACACCGGACGTCAAGACAACCTCACGGTGTGAGATCTAAATTATAAGATGTAGAAAAATGGATATAAGATAGCACCTGTTGTTTAGAGGTAGCTCTCATATACTTTCTTGCTAACAGGCTTAGAGTTTATCACTCACTGCATTACGGCACTTGTCGTTTAGAGGTAGTTCTCATATGCTACCTGCCGACAAGCTCAGAGTTTATTACTTACTGAAAAAATCGAGTACTACGCATGTTATGGGCGGAGGGTTGAATCTAAGTAAAAGAAAACTTACACTCCTTTAAATGCTCTCAAGTGGTCTTTCATCTATTTTTCATTTTTGCCGCTCTCACCAAAATTTTTGACAAAAAGTAGGCGATTTGGCTTACTCTCTCTAAAAGATCAGCATTGTTTACACCTTCCTAATTCAGACAAACTTAGTAGAATGCAACCACGTGTTTGTTTTGTTTATCAATATGGTGCTATAATATGGGGAAGAGACCGGTCCCCCCATTTAGAAGATACTCGAGTAAAGTCAGTGCCTGAAAGGAGTTCCTAATGATAAGGCAATGTCTTACAATTAAGATATATTAATTAGTTGCAATTATTATATAATTTTTTAGCCTTACACAGGTTATAATAGTGCTTTTTTTTTGGTGTGTTGTTCGTCATGACCACACTATTTCTTTTTTTGCTTTTTTTATCTTCTTCTATTTATGATGGAATCTTTTTTAGGAATTTAGTTTTTTTTTTTTTTTTGTTTTATGTCTTCTCCTAAACTTGTTTTTTTTTTTCGTAAAATATGGTATTTATCTTTTTCCTTATATATAAACAAGAGATCATATATTCTGTCTGGACTTGGGTGGAAAAAGTTTAAAGAAGGGATAGGTAGTCATGACACGTGGCAGGAAGCGTCCTTTTGATATAGTATTTGATTTCAAGTTCAAAAGTAAATACCAAGGAGAGAAACTTCTGCTATAGCAGGTCGAACATAGGTACCTAGTAGGCAACCAGGTTAGTCTTAACTCACAATTTAGATATAGTTGGTGGCCTTCGGGCATGGTATTTGTCATTTAGAGATAATTCTTATACACTATCTGCTGACAAATTTAAAGTTTATTACTCACCAATAAGTCTCTCTAAAATTTTAATAGTCAAGAGGATTATTACAAGCCTAATAAAGTTAAGGCATGACTGCTGAATTAGTTCAAAAAAAAAAAAATTAGTCTTATTTATTAAATATAATATTTTATAAGAATAAAACAATTAATAAAAAAAAAAAGATTTATTTATAAAAAATCAAAGTATAAAAAATAACTAAGAAAAAATATTAAATAAAAGTTTTAAAAACTTGTAGTAGTAGTAATAATAAACTTAGTTGCTGGTGATTTTTAAATATAATTATATCTAAGAATCATTAGCAACTTAGATTGATTATATTGGGACACTATAGTCTAATAGAGACATTATAGTCTAGTAGAGAAACATTATAGTTTAATAGAGATATTATAGTTTAGTAGAAACATTATAGTCTAGTAAAGACACTATAGTCTAATAATATAATCAGATGATGACCTTATAATCTAATATCATAATCTAACGCTAACCTCATAGCCTGTCTAATTTATTCTTTAGAATATTCTTTGGGGTTATAGCTACCAAAGTAGTGTAAAAAAAGATGCAAATAGTGTAATAAATTCATAGTAAAATTTTATTTATTTTTGGCTAGCACTATAGCATAATTCTGGCTAATCTTTAGGGTATGTGATTTGTGGGTTCCAGCTTGGATACCAAAATATTGCTCAAAGTTCTGGCTGAAATTATAAAATAGTACTAGTTAAAATTAAGCAAAAATTTTTTGCATTTTGGGTTTTAACTATTCTCCAAAACCTTTCTAATACTTTTAAACTCCAGTTTAGTAGTCAATTGGTTAAAAAATTGAAGGTGCAATTTGTATTGCTATAGCCGGCTCATTTGGTTACCAAAAAGTACACCATCTTGCAACCCAACTATTTCCTATTTGTTGCTAGTATATATATACTAATTTTATGTCCCGAAGTTAGAAATATAGTTTGTATTACTATAGCCAACTTATTTGATTACCAAAAGTACGCATTTTGTGATCCAACTATTGCCTATTTGTTGCCAGTATAAGTATGCCGATTTCACATCTTGAAGTTTAAATTATTAAAGCTATATTTTTTCTAGAAACAACTTGGATATGAACTAGGATAGATTTTTTGTTATCACTAGTTATTACTAGTGTTACTGGTTTTGTATACTAACTAGTAACAGAACTAGTGACATGTTCATTATGTTTGTTAAGATTATTTGGCTATTTTATTTTTTTTTTGATTAGTGTTACTAGTATCACTAGTAAATGAGTAGTAAAATCTAGGAAAAAAATCATAATTTTTCTATAGTATTCTACTAGTATATATATATCATAGTATTGTATATATATGATTTAGATATCCCTTAAACCGTCAGGTTTAGCGTTCAAATTTGGACACTAAAATTAAAATCAATTATATCTGATCTAATTTTTTAAATATTAAAATATTTTAAAAAAAATTTTATATTATAATA